TAGAAGGAGAAGAAACCAGACAGCTGGGACCCGCGGTGCCTTCAGATGAATGTTTTAATTCATCAGAACACAATGTTAACAGCCAGTGCTTTGATTCCTCTTTAAAAATCAGTATTTTTCTAATTAAATCAAGTATCAGCAATCTGAGTCTCTTATTGACTCTTATTGAGGATTATTCTGGGTGTCTTGATGTTTCATAGATGACATATTAATGGATTTATGAATGATTGCTGTAAACACAGGTTGTTATTAGGCTGCGTTCAGATGCTTTACAGTTTACTGTAATCACATTTATATTGATGTTTTGGTATTAAACCGGATAAATCAACTTTCAGAGACATGATTGTTTCTCTTCTGAGCAATAACATTTACTGTTGTATTATCTGTTGTTTTGGTGGATTTCTGTTCACGCTGTCTGTGCTGTATTTATCAAACCAGTGTTTTTATTACAGTTTAAATGTAATAAGTCATAAATGAGTGGAAATTACTGCCATGTGCAACAGCCAACAACTAGAAGGTTATTTATTTTATAACATCTTAATCTGAATACAATGCACTATTTCCCTCTGAATTTACCTATAATGGAAATACTAACGTAACAAACGTCTCATAAAGCACAATATTTGATGATTTTCACTGACAATCCCTGCTGCTTTTCTTGGGCAACTAACGTTAGCTGCACACGCTAACGACGTTTAACATTACTGTTGGTGAGAGTTAGCTTCTTTTACCAACAAGTCCATCTGGAAACTCAGTAAATCACCTCGGTACCTCGGAGGTTGTGTTGTCACTGAGAGGCTGCTGAGCCCCGTTCGGTTGCACGCTAACTGCAGCTACATTAGCAGTTAGCTAACGGTAGCTACGTTAGCTGTTAAGGCAGAGCAGCCTGAAGACGGAGAGGCGACCAGACGATATTTATTATGATCCAGTTTCACCCAAATCACTGATAAAGTTGTGTTTTTGTACAGTTATCAGTCCCAAAGTTTATCATTTTTGTGCTCAATGTGGATTATAGAAACTCTTAAAATAATGTCCTTTTTCTCATCACATTGGTAGAAATTGGCTTCCATAGACGACCTAAAACCACAGATCTCCTCTTTTACTGTCATTCACTCTTTTGGGAAGTAAATAAAATCATAAACTCTGTTTATTTTATTGTTTAATGGTTAAACAATGGTTTAACGGTTTATGGTTTCTCCCAAAAAGGGGCGTGGTCGTTCTGAAGACAAGCAAGTGACGTGTGCTCATTGACAGTATAAAAGCTGTGCTCCTTCGTCAGAAAACCGTTATTACAAAAACTTGCAAAAAACAACTAAAGTGACAGTTTATAACCGCCATATAACAGGATAAAAGGTAGGTTATAATAACTAAAAGTACTAAGAGTTATATCTGTATAAACGGTTAGAATCAAATATTTAATAAGACTATTAAACAAAAAATCCACAAATAAAAACCCTCATAGATACTTTAATTAATTTATAAGTAAATTAAATAGTGTTTAAGAAACATTTGTGAATTATTTATGCTGAATTAACACCGAATATCCAGTGATTTTTTTTAAAGTTCTGAGATAGTGAGATAGAGTAAAACCAGCAATATTTTATTTTTTCTGTAGGTAAAGTGGCGCTTGGTGTATTAAAGCAGCAATGATTCATAAAAGCAACTTAAATTCATTGTTTTATAATATGCACACTCTGTAAACCAGAGGAATTACTGCTGGATTTATAATGGAGTTTGGTGGGGGGAGCTGGACCGACATGAACCGGCCGTTTATCTTTCATCCTCCCGGACCGTAATGGAGGAAAGAAGATACTCATCTTGACCGGATAAGAGGTCGATACGTCCCGGCTGATGCCCGGTGTCCTGTCCTGAAAATGTCCCCGGAGGAAGGGAACCCTCCGCGGCGGAGAGCTGGAGGAGAAGCGCACCAAGCCGGCGACAGTTAGCCCGGCATGAGGAGGAAGACCGTCAGAATAAAAG